TATATATATAAGAAAATATTTGATCACCTTGTCTTAAAATATTTTATTCATCATGTTAAAACAAAACATTCCATAATCAATTTCTTTTCTTTTTTCTTTTTTCAATTTTTCTAATTTTTCGGGAAAAAACAAAAAAAGGCTTCAGGAAAAAAACGGGAAAAAAATGTTTCCCCCCCAATTTTTCCGGGTTTTTTCCGGACCTTCACATCTCTACTCCGGACACCCGACAGTTCCGTGGATCTCCACGGGTGGCTGTGTTGCCGGCGCTTCTATTGACCTGTCCCTTACTTCCCACCAGGCCTGTGACGCCGCCCCCCACGTCGAGGAGCCCTGCAACAGCGTCCAACTCCAGCAGCCTTTCCCGGCTCACCATGCCGGTGCTGGCTACCCCACACACTGGGTACCAAGAGCCTGTCCTTGCCTCTCAGCCTCTCTCTGTTCTTGCTGCCTCTCTCCTTCTCCCCGGGGGGCGGGGCAGCAGCGGTTCTCCTGGTGTTGTCCCCGCAGAGTATCTGGTATCCAAGCTGTCAGGACTGTACCCAAATCTTGGCCCACCTTCTATGCCCCCGACTCAACAGGTTTCCTTGGGCAAGTGCGAAATGACACCCCCGGAGCCCTGGCTTGAACAGGTGTGATATGGACACCAGGACCAAGCAGGAAGTGATGAGAAAGACCTCAGCCTGAGACCCTGGAGAGCTGTAAAGAGGGGCTGTGGCTCAGTGGCAGAGCGTCTGCCTGGCATGCAGAAGGTCCCAGGTTCAATCCTGGCCATCTGCAGTTAAAAAGGACCAGGCAGGAGGTGATGGGAGAGACCTCCGCCTGAGACCCTGGAGAGCTGTAAAGAGGGGCTGTGGCTCAGTGGCAGAGCGTCTGCCTGGCATGCAGAAGGTCCCAGGTTCAATCCTGGCCATCTGCAGTTAAAAAGGACCAGGCAGGAGGTGATGGGAGAGACCTCCGCCTGAGACCCTGGAGAGCTGTAAAGAGGGGCTGTGGCTCAGTGGCAGAGCGTCTGCCTGGCATGCAGAAGGTCCCAGGTTCAATCCTGGCCATCTGCAGTTAAAAAGGACCAGGCAGGAGGTGATGGGAGAGACCTCCGCCTGAGACCCTGGAGAGCTGTAAAGAGGGGCTGTGGCTCAGTGGCAGAGCGTCTGCCTGGCATGCAGAAGGTCCCAGGTTCAATCCTGGCCATCTGCAGTTAAAAAGGACCAGGCAGGAGGTGATGGGAGAGACCTCCGCCTGAGACCCTGGAGAGCTGTAAAGAGGGGCTGTGGCTCAGTGGCAGAGCGTCTGCCTGGCATGCAGAAGGTCCCAGGTTCAATCCTGGCCATCTGCAGTTAAAAAGGACCAGGCAGGAGGTGATGGGAGAGACCTCCGCCTGAGACCCTGGAGAGCTGTAAAGAGGGGCTGTGGCTCAGTGGCAGAGCGTCTGCCTGGCATGCAGAAGGTCCCAGGTTCAATCCTGGCCATCTGCAGTTAAAAAGGACCAGGCAGGAGGTGATGGGAAAGACCTCCGCCTGAGATTTCGGGAACCTCTGCCAATCTGAGTAGACAATACTGACCTTGATGGACCCAGGGTCTGATTCGGTAGAAATAGCAGCCTGCCATTTCCCCACCTGGGGCCATTTTCTTTCCTCTTTCTTGGGGTGTATATATATATATATTTGCTTTCACGCTGTCCTTTTGCAGCTCTGCCTCCTTCGACCTGCTTGTTCCACCCCCAGCTCTGTTGGGGCCATGGTCCTCCTTCTCCTTCACTTCTCCTTGGATGCTGTTTTGTGCTCTGTACTTAGCGCTCTCTCTCTCTCTCTCTCTCTACCACCCTGGCCTGTTTTCTCTCCCTGCTCCCCCTTTCCGGACTCCTCACCAGGCCACGGACGAGCCCGTCGCCCCTCCGGAGAGCGTGGATTCCATGCTGCGGCCCTTCAACCTGGTCATCCCCTTCACCGTGCAGAAGGGGGAGATCACAGGTAATGGATTGGGCGCGTGGATGTGGGGCAGAGCTGGGGGTTGGGGGGCTTGTTTGGTGTCGTGGTTAAGTGTGCGGACTCTAATCTGGGAGAACCGGGTTTGATTCCCCACTCCTCCACTTGCACCTGGCTGGGTGACCTTGGGGAAGCAGTAGCTCTGATAAGAGCTGTTCTTGAAAAAGAGCAGTTTCTGTCAGAGCTCTCTCAGCCCCACCCACCTCACAGGGTGCCTGTTGTGGGGAGGGGAAGGGAAAGGAGTTTGTAAGCCGCTCTGTGACACCTTTGGGTAGTGAAGGGCGGGGTAGAAATCCAATCTCCTCCTCCTCCTTCCTCCTCTTCTTCTGAGAGTCAGTTTGGTGTAGTGGTTAAGGGCGTGGACTCTAAGCTGGGAGAACCGGGTTTGATTCCCCACTTCTCCACTTGCACCTGGCTGGATGACCTTGGGCAAGCTGTGGTTCTGATAAGAGCTGTTTTTGAAAAAGAGCAGTCTCTGTCAGAGCTCTCTCAGCCCCACCTACCTCACAGGGCGTCTGTTGTGGGGAGGGGGAGGGAAAGGAGTTTGTGAGCCACTCTGAGACACCTTTGGGGAGTGAAGGGCGGGGTAGAAATCCAATCTGTTCTTCTTCCTCCCATGGGGTGGATGCGGGGTCCCAGCTCATGCGTTGGAGAAGAGGAGCCTGGGTTCGAAATAATGCCCTATGAGGAAAAGCTGAAGAGTCTGGGACTTTTCCGTTTAGACAGGCCTGGGTTTTTTTGGTTCTTTTTTTTTTTGAAGAAAGAGGTGCCGGAACTCTCTAGAGGGAAACGAATGTTTCAATCTGTATACTGAAAACGCACGAACTTTTAAAACGTTTTAAAAAGAATTTCGTCGAAGAGGTTCCGGAAGTCCATTTCGGTGTGTTCCCCCAGAAAAAAAAAGCCTTGCATGTAGAAAAGAGACGACTAAAGGGGGACACGATAGAGGTTTATAAAACTATGCATGGAGTGGAGAGAGCGGACACTGAGAACTTTTCCTCCCTCTCCGAAAAAAGTAGAACTCAGGGGCATCCGATGAAGCTGACGGGCAGTAGGTTCAGGACAGACAAAAGGAGAGACTACTTTACACAGAGAGGGATTCAAATGTGGGATTCGCTGCCAGAGGATGGAGTGATGGCCACAGGAACAAACAGCTTTAAAAGGTTCAGATTCAGGGGATCAGACAGATTCATGGAGGAGAAATCTATCAATGGCTATTAGCCGTGGTGACTGAGGGGAACCTCCACATTCAGAGGCAGTCAAGCTCTGAATCCCAGAGCCAGGACGCAACATCCGGGGAAGGCCTCGGCCTCTCTGCCCTGTTGTTGGCCCTCCAGAGGGACTGGCTGGCCACTGGGTGAGACAGGATGCTGGACTAGATGGACCCTCACTGCTCTGATCCAGCAGGGCTCTTCTGAGGTTCTTACGAAGGCCTCAGCCTCTCTGCCCTGCTGTTGGCCCTCCAGAGGAACTGGCTGGCTCCTGTGTAAGACGGGGTGCTGGACTAGGTGGACCCTCCCTGGTCTGACCTAGCAGGGCTCTTGTCCTGTTCTTAGGAAGGCCTCGGCCTCTCTGCCCTGCTGTTGGCCCTCCAGAGGGACTGGTTGGCCCCTGTGTGAGACGGGAGGCTGGACTAAATGGACCCTCACTGGTCTGATCCAGCAGGGCTCTTCTGATGTTCTTATGAAGGCCTCGGCCTCTCTGCCCTGTTGTTGGCCCTCCAGAGGAACCGGTTGGCCCCTGTGTGAGGCAGGATGCTTCACTGGATGGACCTTTGGTCTGACCCAGCAGGGCACTTCTGATGTCCTTACGAAGGCCTCAGCCTCTCTGCCCTGCTGTTGGCCCTCCAGAGGAACTGGCTGGCTCCTGTGTGAGACGGGGTGCTGGACTAGGTGGACCCTCCCTGGTCTGACCTAGCAGGGCTCTTGTTCTGTTCTTAGGAAGGCCTCAGCCTCTCTGCCCTGCTGTTGGCCCTCCAGGGGAACTGGCTGGCCCCTGTGTGAGACAGGAGGCTGGAGCAGATGGACCCTCAGTGGTTTGACCCAGAAGGGCTCT